CAGGTGCTGTTGATGACGCCGTCACAGAACAGGGAAGCCTAACAGCACACAGAGCACTGGCTGTAAGATCAAGCAGTTACAAGTCCTAAGTGGGGAACTTGGACCAGAGCCACTGCTGGACAGAGACCTGTGACCCCTCGGTGTTCAGCACCCTCCCCCAAATACCAGACTTACTGTTTCTGCATAGGAAGTAAACAAAGTGTTCACCATACAACCAGCCTGAGAAGTTCCCATGAGCACTGTTTCTACTATTAGCCCACAGTCAGCTCAGTTCTCCTGGAAAAGAACTGTTTTCGCTGTCAGTGTAGAGTAAAACAAAGGACCAAGAGACTTCCCTCTCTTCTCTGAAAGATGCGGCAGCACTCCGGAAAGGCTGCTGTCACCTCAGTAATGCACCAGTCCACACCCTGCCCCAAGCTGCCAAGTCAGTCATGCTAACAGTTAAGCCTTCCAGATTTAGTGAGTGTTAGTTGTAGGACTCCAGCTTCTGACTCATCTTCACTGACAGGACAGCTGGAGAGGTTAAAGACATCCAACAAAAGCATTTTGAGTCACCCTACTACCTAAAGTGTAGAATCAGTGGGATTTTAATCAGAGCCGAACCCTTTAAACACCCATTTGAGATAACTCACACAAGCTAGACACTGCTATACTTATTCACTAGCACAAGGGTTTGAAGAAAAGGCTGCATCATAAAGGAAATTAATATAAAGAGGGGTAGACAGACATGCTTTTAACAAAAAGGTTTGGTTAACCCACCAAATTTTGGATAGTGACATTCCAGAAGTGGCATGTTATGCACAGGTATTTAAGACTTACTTTCCCAAGCATTCTGCCAAAGAAGATCCAAACCTGGATACAATGCTCATTTAAGTGTCAAAGGGTTCCGACTTAGTATCTGCCTTGCTGATCCAGATGAAGCAGCATCAGTTCTGCCTATTTCTTCTTTCTTGATGGAACCTAGGTTTGCACCAGTGATCTGATGGTTTCTGCTCATCCCTGAGCAGCTGCTGATGAGAACAATATGCCCGTTTACTAGTACAAAGCTGTCTATACCGACTGAAACACAGCACAGAATTCTCATCTCAAAACCTTCCTACCCTGGGGAAAAATGAACTGTGCTAGAAAATGCTGATACTAAATACAAAACTATTACTACATACAAGACTCTGGGTGTATGCTGCTCTACTATTTAGATACTGATCTGGAACTGGCAAAGAATACAGAGATATTGCTATGAATCAACTGTTTAAAAAAAAAATCTTGAGTAAAGTTATACATAGGCATTGACAGACAACACTAATTTAACTACAGTGTTACTGAATGAAGCATGCCATATACTGACAACAGAAGATTTTATTTTCTTTTTTTAAAAAAGTAATAAAATTGTTTGTTGCTGCATAAACGAGTAAAGGACCAACTCTTAAACCCAAGGATTTATACTGCAGATGGCAGGAGTCAGAAGCCGACAGGCACTGTGTATGCCTCTCCAGTTCTATTTACTATTTTATCTCTTTTCTAAAGAGAAAGCTTCCCAGGGGAAGCTGTCAGAGCACTGGTAAAAATGGAAAGAACCATTATATCTAGCCCTACCACCTGTTTTCCCTTTTTCAACCATGAGATCACAAGATCTGGGACTCTTGCTTAAGAACAGTTTAAGTTCAAGGCTCCGCCAGAGCAAGCTTTACTCCTAAAGTACACTCAATAATCCGGAGGATCCCACTGCGAAAAATGCAGCTTGTGAACTACAGACAACTAAGTTTGTTAGTATTTTTAGATCAATAACCACTGAGGTAAAGCAAGAAGAGGTGGCAACCTCTGCTGCTTTGCAAATATACAGTGTTTTATACCACAACATCCCAAAATCATAGTTTTGTTTTGGATGAGGATTATTTAATGAAAATCACCCATCTCTAAGAAAATATAACTTACTAGCAAAATTGTGTCTAACAGGCATGTATCCTCTTTCAGGCTCCTTCATTTCACAATGACTTGGAAAAAATACTCAGATTCTCCCCAAGTCTGACAGAACTTGTTTTACACTGCCTGCCCTAATCACAAGTAATCCTTTGATCTTTCCTCTCCACAAAACACTAGGCATTCTACGGGAGAAAATTTCTGATTTGCTCCCAAAGATGCTCTCAACAAATGTGACAAATGCTCATTTTAGATTAAAAACTTCCGGGTAAGACTTCAGTTAAAAAACAGAGGCTACTTGATTTTGCGGTGGTGGTGGTGGAATGTGTTTGGGCCAAATACACTACAAAATTTTATGTTTGATTTTTACTGTTAATGACTTAACACATCAGCATCTTAGCATCATCATTCGATGCACTCTAAAAACATTTATAGGCAGATGGACTGCAAGGAATGTGAGCAAGGAAAGCCAGCTCATGCTGCAGGGAGGAACACATAGTTCGGGCATACTAAAAATAAAAAGAAAGCATTAACACACCATATGCTGTGCAACAGCAAATAGCATTATTTAGAAGTGTTCCAATAAAAGCTAATGATGGCAAAAGTTCAGACCTACTAAAAAAAACAAAGGTAACTTAAGACAGCCACATGCTTCACTGCATAAAATAAACATGAGTTTTATCTATCAATTTAGTTCCTTTTGTTTTACACAAGCCTTAGGATAACTTACCCATTAAAGCATTTTCCTTGTTAACAAAGTCACTAATCATGCCGGACAGGAGTTGAAATACAACTGGTGAAGCAAATTTCAGTTTGTACACAGCCCATGACTATTTTTTTCTTAAATGACTGACTTGTCTTGCACCTCAGCTGCAGTATCTTTCTATGGAGTAAGTTCTGTTTTAACCTCTGCATTAGTACTACTATGCAGATGCACATTCTCTCTCAAGCTGTATGAGCGAAGCATTAAAAAAGGGAGAAGGTCTTTACTAAAGCAACATATTTTCTTTTAAGTAAAATTCTATGTTATCACAAACCCACGTAATTTCAACTCAAGTAATGTTCTTTTCAGCATTTTTGGAAGCCACAGGCAACGTGGGTGCAAGAACATGGGTGCTTCTGTGTGCATGCATAGCGAACAGTCAACAAACAAGCAATTGTTTTCCATAACTTTAAACTGAAGATAGCAACCAGGACTGGATTATTTCTTAGAATGCGTCAGTTAATGATCTTGCAACTGGGGAGAAGCCTAAGGAGATTTAGGAGAGGTGAATCTTAAGGGATAGAAACACTTCAAACTGCCACACAATAGACAAGGTCTACTGACTGTAGCATGGAACTAGGTGAAAAACTCTAAATTTAATGACACCATATCCTTGTGCAATCTTAATCCAGCTTTCACTTCATTTATAAAATGGTGGTAGCCTCATATATCCTGCAGCTGAGACATGAAATCAGTTAGTTACACTTCGAATTCTTCAGGACTGGCAGCGAGCTTCTCAATCTCAACCTTGTTGAAGTGCTCACTCATACTATTAGGGTAACCAGCTCCAATTACAGGAGTATACATGTGGCAATCACTACATTTTCTTAAGTTTTTGTTCTGTTCTCTTGGTGTTCAAAACACAACAGAGGCCTTCCTATTGACTTATTTGGTCTTTTGCTTTGTAGCAAAGTAGTTAAAGCATGGAATCAAAACAGGACACCTTTGCTCAACAGCTCTTTAACTCCAGCCCATCAGAAAACATGGAGGGAAATGCAATAGACTTAATCCATATTAAAATGCTTCAGTAAATTACCATTCTGTGGTTGAGCCTGTGAGGTAACCTGACATCAGCAAAAACATATATCAAGGACTAAAACACTCAAGCATATTATAGAAAGGTACATTTAAAGCAAAAGATGCATGGTTCAGGTTTGTTAGATTTTACCTGACAGGTCTCAAGTATTAGTGAACTGTCTGAAAGAACTACAGTTGATTCAAAGCAGCAAACAATGATTTCATGTCTTTGTTTTGTTTCATTATCATCTCAGATGGAAGTTTGAGAGTCTGTAATGTATGTTCATTCTGGTATACCCATATGCTGAATACTACTTAAATTCCCTTTTAAAAACATAACTAGAACATTTGTTCTTAATGCAACAGAGGAGTTGCACTAAGAATTGGCATTTGCACTCTCATCAGAAAGGGAGCCGAAACAAAAACAACATTCCCACCTCAGACTAACACTGAACCCAAGCTGTCATCCTGAAGCCTTTGCTTTTGTACATGGCAGAACTCCATTCACACTCAACAGCAAGAACTAAAATACATGTGTGTCTGATGGCTCATTCGGAGCAACTGCTGGACCACAATAGCTGACATCCACTGAACACTTTTCCCCTCACCACTGCCTGCTTCTGCTTTAATTCCACTTCCAACACAAACAGAAAACCCAAACAAACAAAAAACCCCAAGACTCACTTTTCAATTCATAACCTGCCAAGTGAAAGGGAATAATATCCTGAGAATCAGCAGGCCTGTAAGGAAGAAGTCTCCACAGAGACAGAAAAAGGATCCCTTTTCTCACCCTTGTTCCCGTCAACATAAGGGACAGCTCCCAGCCCCCTTGTATCTGAATGGAGCTTTTAGAAGCTCCATTTCTCCTTCCTAACTCATGGGTAGAGTAGGCCAGACAAGGAAGGGGGGTGGCAAACTTTTTTGAGCAATCTCTTTTCCCACATTGGAACATATGGAATGCCTGCTAACCCTTCCCAACATACACTCCTGCTCCACATGATAGTCTTCCTTTCTCCTACTACTATACCCATTTTTTAGTCCAAAAACAGCTAACACAAACCAGCTATGACCACAGGCTAGAACATGCTGAACCAACTGCCATGAACCAGAACCTCAGCCACACCTGAAGGCAAACAGGAAACAAGGAGGAACGATATTAGTTCGACTTGCTTACAGCAAAGCTGTCCCCTCATTACACAGAGACCAACAATGCTCAATTCCAAGATCAGTCTTTTTCCTTGCTTACACCAACCTAAGAATTCTGGTACTGTTTTCCCCTTAAAATTAAATGCACCGCTCTTACTCTTCAGCCATCCTTTTCTATGTCCGAGATGTGTCTGCTCCAACTCTTTGTTGATTGAGGCCACAACTCCAGCTTGACCTTCGCTTCTGCTTCCTGTCCCATCACACTGATTTTCCAAACTCTGAAAGAAAAAAAAAGGCAACTCAGTGATTGCCTGTAGGCAAAAAAAACCTTTGCCCTATATCAAGCTGCCATTTTCTTTGAAATGATTAAATCTTTATTCCGTGTAAAACAAAATAAAAATAAAATTAAAAATTATATGGTCCTATTTAATTGATTACACAAAGAATTATGCAAGTTAATTTTAGGTTATTCAAAGAATGCGAGGAGACTGCTATGGGCACAAATAGGGAAATGAGGATATCTAATGACAATACTGAATGACCTCTAAGATGCCCTTGCTTCAGCATTGCTAAAGAGACAACAGGGTGCATGGATCTCCAGTAGTTTGCTCGCTCTAAGCGTAGATATTACACAGTATGAGGGCTTTGAACTTCAGTCGTTGATAACACGGATTTGTTGATCACCAGCAACAAGGATCAAGAATAGGTTTCCTAACACTGTATTTTTAAATTCAGGAATTTGATACATTGAATTTATCAAAATTCTTTTTCAAGAGAAGAGTCAGTTTTCCATGACATTTTGATCTTAATCACTACATTTAACTCAAATAATTTTTGTCATCTTAGTTATTCAGTGTTTTTATGGGAACCTTTGTAGGCAAACTACCAACCTCATTATCCAAACAGCTTGAACAGCAACAGCTTAATATCTGTCGTGGAAAGGAACGTGGTCCTCTGATGACTACAGCTGTGAGGCCACCAAGTTATTTTTCTACTGTTTCAGCAAGGCACACTATTTTTATACAGTCCCTCAAAACCCTCTCATCTCTGAAGGCTCCAAATTCCATTTCAATCAATACTTTAATTGTACCATGAGTTTTCAATAAAGCTTTTCAAGCTAATCCAGAAAACAGATCTGGCGCTTTAAAATTCAGTAGGGAACTAAATGATCCCAGGTAACAATCCCAAGACTATAAAAAAAAAAAAGATGTTTTCATTTAAGTACATTCTATCCTTGCTTGCTAAATTACAGCCCCATACAACTAGTATGTAAAAGATTAAACTCAAGTTATACAACATTCTTTCTCTGTATTTCAGGTAAAGCATTAAGTAGCATAGCAATACTTAACGTAGTATATCTTTCAGGAAGTGAAAATTTTCCAAATGAGTCTAATAAAAAAGCTAAAGCCTCAATTTAAACGTATTGAGATTACTGTGTTAACAGTAGAGTGTGACTACTAAAATATTTTTCTACCACTTTGAGGTTCTTTTTCTCAAGACTGAACAAATGCCATTTCAACACTGCATGATATTAACTTGAATGCTTAAAAATAAACATATTCTCAAGAACAGCAATTTAGAATGACCACATGTAAGTAGTAAGAATTACTGTCACGTAAGGCATAATTTCAGAATGCCATGAAGAATACGCTTTTTTCAATCAGATATTTGACCCTGAAAAATACACATCAGAACACGTTAGAACTGATCCAGTTAAGCTTTTTTTAAACTTAAAAAACCCCAACACATTAAGACTACTCAAAAACTGCACTGGTACTATGCAGAACAGGGCAAGAGCACTGTTACAGCGAGGTCCCAAAAGTTACTCCATACTTTTCGGCTGTATATATTCCTTCCTGCTTTCATATAAAATTATTTACATCTCACATTGGTAATAAGAAAAACAAACACACTGTAAAAACTCCATTATCTGCATCAGTGTTGTTTTAAGACCAGGAAAAGTGATGATTATTACCAAGCTGAAAAACTTGTGAGAGTTAGATCTCAGGGGAAACTGAAAAATGTCTAAGGGAATTCTTTATCTACACCCTTAGGAAGTGCTGAGTAGTACCGATTCTATACTAATTAACTACAATGCTCATTGTAACATCTATCCATAAGCTACAAGTTCAAGTGTAAACTGAGTGTAGCTCCAGCTATGACAGAGCAAATACGTGCTGAACACCACCAGTTACTCTAGAGAAGAGCTGTAAGTCCTTGGGGTTTGTGGTAGAACAGTTACTGGCTAAGAACCGGGGGGGAGGGCGGGGGGGAACAGGGGAAATTTTATGGGGGTTGGGGACACCTTGTT